GGTGGGGTGGCCGTTGTCCGATATTCAGTTTTAAGGCCGATACCGATAGGGGGCCGATTATATCGTGCATCCCTAGATATAAGTTTTATTTTTTTTACAAGTATTCACTCAGTTAAGCCGCTTAAACTAAAACAGTTCATTCCACATGCTAACTGCCTCGTATTCTATTTAGTATTAACTCTATCGATAACATAAACTGATACAAGGAATGGTCCTGCCATTATTAAAAAAAAATCTTTTTATGAGAGATCTTTGTGAATGTGGGGGCTGGTATTGATCCTGTGGGAAGGTCATGGCTTGGTTTGTGTGGGACCTGGCTCTTGTATTCTCATCTCAGGCATTTGGATCCAGGTGTTCACGATACACGCTTACACAAAATGTACTAAAGTTACTCTTAATTTCCTGTCTTTATTTTCTTTCTTTCCCTTTTCTCTCTACCTCTGGTTCTCTCCCCTTAAAGTTATGATCTTGGAGCTAATGACTGGCTGGGCTACTCATTTTATACACCTGTCTAACTCCGCCCAGTTTCTCGTTACTGTTCATCTAATCCACCTGCTCCTGCTTCTTTTTAACCTGCCTGTTTCCAGTCATCAGGACCACCAGCCAGTGGTGAGAGTTATTCAGCGTTACCTTAGGGCTTCTGATTTCCTTGTTCTGCCTCTCAACCACTGAGCCTGGCTGTTCCCGTCTGATCTGTTTGCCTGACCTGTCTATGGACTAGATTCTGTTTGTTTAATTAACTTGGAGCTGTTTCCTGTCACCGACCTGGATTTCCCTTTGAAATCTCTTTGGACTCCTGGTTCTGTATCCTAAGCCCGTCCTTGGCACTGGCTTTGGCTTCGCCCTCTGGAATTATCCTGCCTGCCTTCCTTCCTTCATCTACCCGGATCTGATCTCCTAGTTGTTTTCTGTCCTCCAGGACTGCAGCATCTGGGACTCTATGAATGGCGCCCGCCATATCTTGTTATCAGCCAACCGGCTGGAATCAACCACCTTCTCTGGGCATGGATTGAACTATTAAACCAGGTTAGTTATCTTCCTCCGCCAGTTTTAGGTGGTCACTAACCTGTGTTTCCTTTCTGCAGAGGTTCCTGCCCTAGACGCCCTAGCCGCTGCTACTGCAGATCTGCCAGTTTTAAATAAATGTTTTTGTATTTTTTGTCTGTGGTATACTTGGTCCTCCGTTCTGAGGCGTGACACTTAAGTCCTATCCCATCTTCCTCTCTCACCTTCCTTTCCAAGATAATTTTACTCCCAAAATCACTTCTTGCATCGTTTTATGCATGATTACAAAGAACCTTATTGCTACAGCTGTGATGATCAGCTTGTGAAAGGAAATCTGGTCAGTGCAATATGGGCAAAAAGTATTTTCTGTATATTTGTCTTCTTTTTAAACCTCTTAAGGATAACGTATAATAAATAACAGCCTTTTGACAGTAACGCTGATAAAGTTGTTTTAACTAAGACTAGTCCAATAACCGTCAGAATGAAAAAAACAATGCCAAGAAGAAGCCCAAGAAGAAATTGTGTGTTTTTTTTAAAAAAAAAAAGGGCGAATTTAAGTGACTAAAATCTAAAACTGTCCAAAGCTGTGTTTTAAAGTGTGATGTTTCATTAAAGCTCTGCTGTTTTCACCAAAAACAACCAGAGTCAATTTTGGCAGGAAGATAACAGAGGTCTACATCGAAATATAAATTTCTTAAATATAACAAATAACAGTTCCTAAGTTTTACTTTTGAATTTCATTCATTTGGCGATCATATTTTAATTGTTGGGCAGTGAGTTTAAAAAATACAACTAACAATTAATTGAAAAACAAAATCTTCTGTTAGATTATCAATGTTTTAGGGATTTTTTAAATAAAAAAAAACAAACAAACATTCCTATTCAGCCTACCAATAATGTTTCATTAGGTTACTGATTTCTTTTGTTGTTGTTCATCTTCATGTGTTCCATTAAAATTATTCCTACTTGGCACTGTGACGTATTTGACAGGCCTTTATAGCACTTGGAGATCTGTGTGGACCAATGTAAGGGGCTTTATAAATAAAAAGCATTTTTATTACGTAGATAAACAGTTTACACTGAGTTTGGTTGAGTACAGTAGGGTGTATCTGATTTAAATAGCTATAAAACACTAAGGGAAATTAGTTAAAGTCCACTTAACATTATAAACGGAAAGATTTTCCACACAAGGCCTTAGGATGGGATCAAACTCACAATCGTCATGCTGCCGTGTTACAAACGGCACCACTGTCTAGGCTTCCTGACCCTTTAACAGTCAGTAATACTAATACAGAGCTACACAACAAGTCAGAATCCAAATTTCTAACTTTTTCAAACAGAAAAATAAGAAAATATATTTTTGCTTCATATAAAGTTAGATTTAAGGAAATTATTGAACATTATGTTGTTTTTGTGGTATGAGTTTATAAGGAAGAGCAGTTACTGCACTGTCATCCACACATTGCAATGGCCACATTTTCTTATGATATGTTCATGTTTGGGTTTTCTGCTGTTAACAGCAAACTGGGATTTACCCATTATGATAGAGATATTCGCTACTTCATATTTAAAGGTGATATTTAAAAGATTTGCATGGACTGTATTTCACCAGAATCATTTTTTATAGTGGTGAAGAACCAACAGCTGAGAAGACAGGTGAGCCGAGATAAAGTAAAACGCTAAGGAACAGGCAAAAGAAACATGGTTACTCTGGGGGAGCTGCAGAGATCCACGGCTCAGGTGGAATGG